CAGATAGAAAACATCCCAGTAAGTCTCCATTGTTGTTGTTGTTGTTAATTGCAAAGTCATGTCCGACGCATCGCGACCCCATGGACAACGTTCCTCCAGATCTTCCTGTCCTCTACCATCTTCTGGAGTCCATTTAAGTTCACACCTACTGCTTCAGTGACTCCATCCAGCCATCTCATTTTCTGTCGTCCCCTTCTTCTATTGCCCTCAATCTTTCCCAGCATTAGGCCCTTCTCCAGTGAGTCCTTCCTTCTCATTAAGTGGCCAAAGTATTTGAGTTTCAACTTCCGGATCTGGCCTTCTAAAGAGCAGCCGGGGTTGATCTCCTCTAGGACTGACCGTTTTGAATGCCTTGCAGTCCAAGGGACTCGCAGGAGTCTTCTCCAGCACCATAGTTCAAAGGCATCAATTCTTTGGCGCTCAGCCTTTCTTATGGTCCAACTTTCACAGCCATACATTGCAACTGGGAAAACCATGGCCTGGACTATACGCACTTTTGTTGGCAGGGTGATGTCTCTGCTTTTTAGTATGCTGTCTAGATTTGCCATAGCTTTCCTCCCCAGGAGCAAGCGTCTTTTAATTTCTTGGCTGCAGTCCCCATCTGAGGTGATCTTGGAGCCCAGAAAAATAAAATCTGTCACTACCTCCATTTCTTCCCCATCTATTTGCCAGGAATTGAGAGGGCCGGATGCCATGATTTTGGTTTTCTTAATGTTGAGTTTCAAGCCAACTTTTGCACTCTCCTTCTTCACCCGCATCAAGAGGCTCTTTAGTTCCTCTTCACTTTCTGCCATTAGAGTGGTATCATCTGCATATCTTAGGTTGTTGATATTTCTCCCGGCAATCTTAATTCCAACTTTTGATTCATCTAGCCCTGCCTTTCTCATGATGTGCTCTGCATATAAGTTAAATAGGCAGGGCAACAGTATACAGCCTTGCCGGACTCCTTTTCCAATTTTGAACCAATCAGTGATTCCGTGTCCAGTTCTCACTGTTGCTTCTTGACCCGCATATAGGTTTCTCAAGAGACAAATGAGATGGTCTGGTACTCCCACCTCTTTAAGAACTTGCCACAATTTGTTGTGATCCACACAATCAAAGGCTTTAGCATAGTCAATGAAGCAGAAGTAGATGGAACTCCCTAGCTTTCTCCATGATCCAGCGTATGTTGGCAATTTGATCTCTAGTTCCTCTGCCTCTTCGAAATCCTGCCTGTACTTCTGGTAGTTCTCGATCCACATACTCTGGAGTCTAGCTTGTAGAATTTTAAGCATAACTTTACTAGCATGTGAAATGAGTGCAATGGTGCAATAGTTTTAACATTCTTTGGCATTGCCTTTCTTTGGAATTGGAATGTAAACTGACCTTTTCCAATCCTGTGGCCACTGTTGAATTTTCCAAATTTGCTGGCAAATTGAGTGTAGCACTTTTACTGCATCGTCTTTTTGAGACCCTTCTTTACCAGATTGAATAGCTCAGCTGGAATACTGTCACCTCCACTAGCTTTGTTGTTGCTCAGATTTTCTAAGGCCCATTTCACTTCACATTCTAGGATGTCTGGTTCGAGGTCAGTGACCATCTCATTGTGGTTATCTGGGACGTTAAGCTCATTCTTGTATAGTTCTTCTGTGTAGTTTTGCCATCTCTTCTTAATCTCTTCTGCCTCTGTTAGGTCCCTGCCATTTTGGTCCTTTATCATGCCCATTTTTGCATGAAACGTTCCCTTCAAATCTCCAAAAACCATGAATTTTATGAGCCAAAGTTCTGATTCTTCACTGACTTATTTATGGTTCTCATAAATATACTCAGCTTGTCCTGCACTGCTAACCTTATTTTCCTAATTTCCATAAAACAGGAAGCTATGATTAATTGATGGATTGCTAGTTAATTGGAGCTTATCACAAAGAGGTATTGCATATGTAGACAAAGGGGCTAAATATTCAGGCAAGAATTTTCCATATACTAAGTCAGTGGTTCTCAACATGTGGGTCGGGACCCCATTTGGAGTCGAACGACCATTTCACAGGGGTCGCCAAACAACGCAGTCTGCCATTTTTTCCCCTTTTCCTTAGCTGTGCTAAGGAATGAATGAATGAGGGGTCCAACCGCAGGATCACTCTGTCATGGTGGAAGGTGCATAGGTCTTCCCTAACGGAAAGAGCTGCCAGTTCCGAAACACGCCTTGCCGATGTGACTGCAATCAAGAAGGCCACCTTATGAGACAAGAGGCACAGAGTGCAAGACCTGATGGGTTCAAAGGGGGATCCTGTAAGAGCCTGGAGTACCCAAGGTAACTCCCAAGTGGGGTAGCGATAGACTACATGAGGCTTGCTGTTTGTAACCCCCTTGATAAAGGATCGAACCCTCGGATACTGAGACAATGGTGCAGAATTGGCACAGATGAAAACTGTGGAGAGTGCCGCCACTTGCCTACGGATAGTGCTGGGTGCTAGGCCCTTATCCACGCCCTCCAAGAGATATTCGAGTACTCTCGGGATAGTGACAGAAGAAATGGGCAAGCTATTGTGGTCACACCAGTGACAGAAGTTTTTCCAAGTGGCATCATAAATTTGATTTGTCGCCGGCCACCTAGAGGCCTGAATCATTGAGATCACTCTTGAAGAATATGAACCCCGTGTCAGGAACTGGCGTTCAGATGCCAGGGGGCTAGCTGGAGCCACTGCGGGTCTGGGTGTTGTATGGCCCCTTGTGACAGGGCTATCCGATCTGGGGGGATCCTCCACGGAGGAGCTATGGCGAGGTTCACGAGATCTGCGAACCATGGTCGCCTCGGCCAATGTGGGGCCACAAATATCAGCTCCGCTTGTTCCTGGAGTAGCTTCCTGATGACAGCCGGAATCAAGGGAAATGGTGGGAAGGCATAAAGTTCCTCTGGCCAAAGAATGCGGAGGACATCTGCTCCCTCCGACGCCTGCGAGGGGAAACAGGAGAAGAACTGGGGAAGTTGGGCATTTGCTGGGGAAGCGAACATGTTGACACTCGGTTTACTGAACCGATGCATGATCTCCTGGAAGAGACGGGGATGTAGATGCCACTCTGAGTGATCTATCGTAGATCGGCTCAAATAATCCGCCTGCTGGTTCACCTCCCCTGAAATGTGCTCCGCCTTCAGGGAAAGGAGATGTCGCTCCGCCCATGAGCCCAGTAACCTGGCCTCGGACATCAAGGTCCGAGATCGAGTGCCGCCCTGCCAGTTTACATGGGCCTTTGCTACCACATTGTCCGTCAAACCAACATGTGGCACCCCGCAATCATTTTGTGGAAATGTCGAAGTCCCAGATGTATAGCCCTTAGTTCCAACCAATTGATGCTTTGCTTGAGGTCCCGCTGGGACTACCGGCCTGGGTGAACTGAAGTTGGAGGTGTGCCCCCCAACCGAATAGACTGGCGTCTGTGGTTAAGGTCACACGAATGGGCTCTCTGAAAAGGGAGCCCTTGGATAAAGCCGGGGATAGCCACCAGAGAAGGGATCTGAGCGTCTGCGCCGGGACCCAGACTCTCTGGGAAAGGAGCTTATGCCCCGCCTTTGGTAGGGGAGCAGGAACCACTGGAGCTGTCTTGTGTGAAGCCTGGCCCAGGGCACTATGGCAATGCAGGAAATCAGTTTCCCCAACAGTTGGGAGAGCAAAGCCAGGGTCACCCATTGCTCTCTGCAGATCTTGAGGACCAGAGTACAGATGCTGACCTGATGCTCCTGAGATAAGAATACTTGACAGAGGTTGGTGTCTATTATCGCGCCTAAGTGTAACAGGCAGTTGACAGGAATCAAGTGGCTCTTTTGGAAATTGATTAAAAAGCCATGGTCCTGAAGTGTCTTGATCGTTAGTGCTAGGTCCGTCATCGCGTTCGGTGCTGAGGAAAACTGTATTAGGATGTTGTCCAAGTAACACTGAACACGAATTGGAACTGACCTGAGGTGTGCGGCAAGAACTGCCAGGACCTTGGTAAAGGCTCTGGGAGCCAATGACAGGCCGAACAGTAGAGCCTTGTATTTGTAATGATGGTTGAAATACCTGAACCTGAGGAATTGTCTGTGACCTGGGTAAATGGGAATGTGCAGGTATGCCTCTGTAAGGTCTATTGATGTCAGCGTTCCCCCTGACGAACGCTGCCCAAGATGGATTGGAGCGTTTGCATCTTGAACTTGCGATATGATAGGTACAAATTTAGGACCTTTAGGTCGAGTATTGCCCTCCATCCCCAAGGTCTTTGGAACCACGAAGAGGATGGAGTAGAACTCCTGGCCCCATTGATCCAATGGTACCTGCTCTATGACCTCTATGTTTAACAGATGTTGAATGGCTTCCTTCATGAGACCCTTCTTTACCAGATTCCACGACAAGGGGCAGGTGATGAAGCGTCGAGGGGGAGATGTTAAGAATTCCAGGGACAGACCGTCCCTGATGGTGGTGAGAACCCAAGAGTCCGTGGTGTGTCTTCCCATTTTTGGAAATAATAAGTCAGTCTGCCGCCTATGGGAGGGTCCCACCCCGAGTCACTTTGACCTGCGGAAGGGACGACCTCCCCTACCTCGAAAGGGCCGCTTGCTCTGAAATTGTTGTCTGGGTCTGTCTCTGTAGCCGGGCCGATCCAAGGAGCGGTCCGCCCCTGCCGGAAAGGGCCACGCTACATTCCCTGAGGCCGGATCTGAACCTGACCGTAAGGAAAGATGGAGGCTGTATGGGACAAAATGCCTGCCTGCTCTTTTGGAAAGGTAATATAATACTCTTCTTCTTTTCCCTGTTTTCCACCAGGTAAGCAGTGAGTGCCTCCCCAAAGAGGCGACCGCTCTGGTATGGGGCAGCGGCCACCCTCCATTTATGTTTGGTGTCGGCACACCAGTTCTTAAGCCAGAACAACCTACATGCGGCGACTTTAGAAGCTATGGCATGGCCTGAAAGTCTGGCTGCTTGCAGAGATACGTCCGCCATATATTCTAGGGCCGCCCGCAACTTGGTCACGTCCTGGTGTACCCTTACCTTGTCTGGGGATATTCTGGACAGGAGTTCGCGTAGCCAGATCAGGAAAATCCTGGTGAAAAAGGAGTTCGATGTGGAAGCTCTTATTGCCCACGCCGAAGCCTGGTATGTTCTGTGGAAAGAAAGCTCAGATTTTTTTGTCCTCGGCCCTCAGAGACTCAGACATATACCCTGGAATCTTGGAATCTGACAAAATGGGTGAAAGGGACTCATCTACTCCTGGAACCTCCAGCGCATCATTGAGGGTAGAAACTGTATCTATAAGCTTACGGTCTATTCCCCCAACGGCCAAAAAAGTGCCAGGGGATCTCCATTAATCCTGTATGGCTTTCAAAAACATGGGAGGGCAAGGGATCTGCTGGTGTTTTACGACTGGTTCTGAAAACAGTGGACCAATACCCTGACCGGATGCCGGATCAGAAACCTGGGGTTTCACCGGTTCGATCTTTTCGGTGGCACAGGCCTTGCATAAGAGAGGAGGGAAAGAAGTAGGGTTGAACAACCCGACCAAGGGAGGAGTCTCTGTGTGTGTCTCCTCCTCATCTGACCACAGACCTTCCTCGAGGACCTGCTTCGAATAGTCGGACACCTCGCTCCCACAGGAAGGTGGTGACAAGGCCGGATCCGGGTACTGATAATCCCTGGACCGAGAAGTCCCCACAGATGTAAGGGGATTTGACTGTCCCAGGTCAGATAGAGCACGTGCTGAAGACGTCATAGCTTGAGCAACTGCCTGATCAATCATGGCCTGGAATTGGTCAGTGAATGATGGTTGTTCCAGAGGGCGGAGTCCCGCCACCATAGAAGTGAATGAAGCCGACAGAGTCAGAGATGGACCCACAAGGGAAACACTCCCTGAGGTTCCACAAGCCGCTGTGGGAGATGTGAGTATTATTAATTAATTTATTTATTTATTTAGTGACGGATCCTTTGTGTCACACTTAGTGGCAGCTATAACCAAGGAGTGCCGGTCCACTAGATGCAGACAGCGGTAACAGGCTGTGATTGAGTAGTCAACTGAGCCTAGCTGATAGATGGAACAATTCAAGGCTGGGAGAGGTAAGCGGTAATTATTTAAGCACAAAATTATTCTGAACTGCAGGGTGCTCCTGTCCAGATAAAGGCACCTTTTCAGCGAAATCACACTGTGGGGACTGAATCAGTCACCTCCACAGCACAGTCTGAAAAATCCAATTAAAAGCCAGAGATAAAAAAAAAAAACAATTGAGAAATCTAGAAGCAATAATTTAATTGTCAAAGAGAAACCAACTTGAGAAGGGAATGAAGAAACCGAAACTAAGACGAAGAATCCAATTAATAGCCAGAGATAAGCAACAATTGAGAAATCTAGAAGCAGTAATTTAAATTGTCAAGGAGAAAAACAACTTGAGAAGGGAAAGAGGAAACCGAAACTAAGACGCGTGGCGATTCAAAATGGCGGCCACACCGGCAGCAGAAGAAAAACTGAAAGTAGTAGTTGGAACCAGAAGCAACAGCCTTCTGCCGGCAAATAACTGAAAGCAATAAACTAAGGACACGATCTCCTGCAAGAGAAGGAATCTTAGGAATGTAGCATGCAATCCGAAGGAAGAAAAGCCCTGTCGCGACAAAGCGCGGGGGGGGGGAGAAATACTGCCTCAGGGAAGCTAAGGCAAGCCTCGTCGGAACACTTGCCAAACTGGGACAGCGCTGATCTCAGCGCTGAGCAGATGGCAAGAGAATGAAAAGAATCCATCAATGGGAATTAAACAAAGGGAAAATACGACCTGTCCTCCTAAGGTTTGCTTTGGGAGCCAATTTCCACATCTGTCTTGGGCTGAGACCAAACGAAACTGGGGCATGGTCCGGCCCAGAGGGGCGTGGCAACTTGATTGATTGGTCTAATTGGGCTAGAGGACTTATTTAACCCATTAGTGGATTCTCCATCCTTCCCATGCTGGAGAAAAACAATTTAAAATCCATCATTTTACAGTGATGGGTCGGACACGACTTCACAACTAACAACAACAACAACAGTGAGGAAGATTATTGAAAAGTGAAAAACATTCAAGACAGTTGCCAATCTTCCCAGGAGTGGATATCCCAGCAAATTCAAGGTCAGACAGTGTAATGCCCAGATAAATTGTTACAGAATTAATGGCATTGTATTAGAATCTTGCAACATTCCTGGAAAGTAAATTTGCTATTATTACCTGAGTTGCCCCCAGCAGCATCAGCTCAATTTCTGCCTATTACATAAAAGGCCAAGATATGAATAGCATACTATAGAAGTCTTAATGATGATAATAGGGATTATTAATTAAATAACAGAATAAGAGTTAGAAGGGACCTTGGAGGTCCAACCCCCTGCTCAGGCAGAAAACCCTATACCATTTCGTACAAATGGTTGTCCAATCTCTTCTTAAAAACTTCCAGTGTTGGAGCATTCACAACTTCTGGAGGCAGGTTGTTCCACTGATTAATTGTTCTAACTGTCAGAAAATTTCTCCTGAGTTCTAGGTTGCTTCTCTCCTTGATTAGTTTCCATCCATTGCTTCTTATTCTGCCTTCAGGTGGTTTGGAGAATAGGTTGACCCCCCCCCCCTCTTCTTCGTGGCAGTCCTAGATATTGGAACATTGATATTATATCACCCCTAGTCCTTCTTTTCATTAAATTAGACATGTTCAGAATCTCCAAATCTATGACCATATTATTTAGTTCGCCATTATTACACAGCATTATGAAACGATTAAAAAACTGGTATTTACCAGAGTGTTATATTTTGCATACATTACAGATTGTAATGCATTTGTGCTCTAATGAGGCCTACTTTATGCCACCATTTTATCTTTCAAACATTCTCAGGCATGAGAACTTCATTGTTCCTGAGTCACTTTGTAATGCTCATGATTAAGCAGAGATTGAACGTGTACCAACCTAGAGAAAATACAACATTCTATACCAGGGGTGTCAAACTCAATTTCATTGAGGGCTGCATCAGCATTGCGGTTGACCTCAGGGGGGCTGGGCAGGTGTGGCCAGGGTGGGTGCGGCCTACTGGGTGGGCACAGCTGGAGTGGGTGTGGCCTACTGGGTGGGCATGGCCAGCTCTTCATCATTTGCGTCAAGGGTGCCTGTGGGGGCCTGGGCAGGAGTGGGACAGATCTGAGGGTCTCTGGCTGAAGGGGGTGGGACCGGGGCAAGTGCCAAGGCATGGTCCACTGTTCCTCTCAGGCCATGCAAGTGGGGGCTGGATGGTGCCCCTTCATGAGGACTGAAGAAATTCACCTTTGCCTGGAAGTGACCAGCACATGGCGCTTGCCTACTTCACATATCTGGCTTGGTGGGCTTTGGGGGAGGGGACACCATGAGTAACGTGAGAGTTGAAGTTACCTGTGCAATGCCGTCCAGCCCCCAGTCTGCCTGGTTTCGGCAGGCAGCAAGGCACTCTCCTTACAGTGCCGAGAGGCCGAGCCAGGCAGCGCGAATCCAAAAAGAAGCACAATGCCACCCAGCCCCCAGCCTGCCCAGTTTCAGCAGGCAGCGGGGTGCTCTCCTCACAGCGCCGAGAGGCTGAGCCGGGCAGGGCGAAGCTCACCAGCTTTGCACCTTGCTGCCTGCTGAAATCGGGCAGGCTGGGGGCTGAGCGGCGGTGCGTTTCTTTTTGGATTTGCACCGCCTGGTTCAGCCTCTCAGTGCTGTGAGGAGAGTGCTCCGCTACCTGCCAAAACCCTTCCCCTGGAGCCCATCAAGCCGGATATGTGAAGTAGGCGAGGGCCATTTGCTGGCCACTTCCAGGCGATGGTGAATTTCTTCATTCCTCACAAAGGGTGACACCTCCCCAGCATGCACCCAGGAGGCGGGGCTGACACGACAGGGGCTGGTTCCTCACTGTTTCCAGATGGCCTTGTGGAGCTAAGATTGAATGCGTTTCAGCATAGATGGCCACCACAAAATTGTACATTGGCTCCCGGGTGGCCTTGGCCAGGGCCAAGGCAGCTGGGGCCATTCCCTCACTGTTTCCAGGATGGCTTCGCGGACCACATGAAACCATGTTGCAGGCCACATCCCGGACCCCGGGCCTTGTGTTTGACATGTCTGTTCTATACCATTTCTTATGCTATAAATAGGGTGTCACAATGAATAAGGATTAGGAAAAGCTTTTTTAGGAACAAAGCTTTCATAAATGTTATTAAAAATCAATAACATTTTTGAATATGGTATAAAAAGTATAACAAATTATATCACCAAATAATTAGTATGAGGTAATGATAAATTGCCATCAGGATAAATATGCTAAGTACTGCTAAAGTAAAATTGTTTCAGAAAAAAACTGCAATGGCTTGTTTTTGTTTTTTAATTAGAGGAACTCTGCCCATAGACTCATAAAAAAATCACTGTGCTTGCATGAGTAATTCATGAAAAGACATCCATAATGCCAATTTAGCATTTTAGTACTATGTTAAAAAGCAAATGAGCTGCATTACAATATCCCTCAAGACAGTTACTAGGGTGGCAAAAGCTCTTTACATGAATTAACAGAATACCTTATTTAGGATAAAAGTTTAATTGCAAGCCTGATTCTGAGAACACTGCCAAACAAGTGAGATAGTTATAAAAGCAAGCTGTATATCACCAGTAACATTCCATTTACTTTTAAGCAACTCCTATTGTAGATTATATAACAAATATTAAATAGTTATATACAGGTAGTTGTCGAGAAACGACAGATCACTTAATGGCCATTCAAAATTAGAACGGCCTTCAAAAGCTACATACAAACCTGTTTCAAAGTTAAGGTGATGGTAGCACCCCCATGCTGTCCCTGCCTTCTGGAAACAGCTGCCGTTTTCAGTGCTCTGACAGTTCCTTGCACTAATGGTGGCTCCTTTTGCTAGTCTTTAAGAAGCCAGCCACTTGCATGCAAAGGCAGCAACTTCAGAAGCAACTTTTCAAAACTTTTCCTTGACATGTGCAGTGAATGGTCAGGGCAGAAGCTGGCTCCTTGCAAAGCTTTTTGCTGTTTATCTGTCTTCAGATGAATCCTAGGTGGATCCTAAAGGCAGTCAAACTAACAGTAAAAACTTTCCAAGGAGCCAGCTTCTGCCTTGACCACTGATGCAAATGTTGTG